GCCCCGGCCGCTGGAGGGGGGGTGGAGGCTGCGCCCCTCCTTGCATTCCCCTCGGGCTCCTCTGCCGCGTGACCCCCACAGGCAAAATGGGGAAGGGCGCGTGCCCCACACGTGATCAGCTGGTGCCTCCCTGACCTGCGGAAGGTGTGACACACACAAGGGGGGGGCACCGCCCCCTGTGCCTCTGCCCACCGCCCCCTGTGCCTCTGCCGGAATTCTAAGGGCTGGCTGGGGTGGCCCTCCCCACACCCTTCCCCCCGGGCACCATTTGCCATGGGTGGGGTTTCAGCCCCACAGAGCTCTTCAGGGCTGCCCGCTCTCCCCTCTGCACAGGCAAGGGTCTCACTGATCCCTACTCTTGGTCACTTCCCCTGGGTGCCGCTCACCTGCATTGCTGGGTGGCCCAGTGTCAGGGCTCTGCAGAACTGCCAGGTGGGGTCAGGGGGAGCTGCCCACACGCTGAGCAAGTGGCCCCAATTAGCTCCCAAAACAGCCAGCTGTGGGGGTCCCCCCTTCCTCCCAGGCTGGCCCACTGGTGTCAAGGGAGCCCTGTGAGGAATTCATGGGGCTGGTGGGGTCCAGTCATGGAGTCTTTAGTTGCACCTCCCTGGCCTTGGCAACCATTGTGCCGTCTTACGCCTCTAGACTATTGGCGTTAATATTATTTGATTATAACCCCCTCATAACCTGTGTCCCTGGCCTTGGCAACCATTGTGCCGTCTTACGCCGCTAGACTATTGGCATTAATATTGTTTGATTGGTAACCCCCCTCATAGGCCAGCCTAACCTAGCTGGATAGGGACACCATCTCAGCTTCCAGGCTAGTACAACAATGCTAGTGGGCATGCTACCCTTCCCCCACCTGAGTGTACATATGTCAGGTTGTCTAGAATGGCTTGGAAGCATGAGTATCAATCACAGGGCAGGGCCTGTTAAGGGGCAGGGCACACTTCCCAAATTGGCTGTGAGTTCTGTGCTTAGCTTTCACCAACCAAATATCACACGAGGGCTGCGTCTAGATTGGCATGATTTTCCGGAAATACTTTTAACGGAAAACTTTTCCGTTAAAAGCATTTTTGGAACAGAACATCTAGATTGGCACTGATGCTTTTCCGCAAAAGCACTTTTTGCAGAAAAGCATCTGGGCCAATCTAGACGCGCTTTTCCGCAAAAAAGCCCCGATCGCCATTTTCGCAATCAGGGCTTTTTTGCGGAAAACAAATCTGAGCTGTCTACACTGGCCCTTTTGCGCAAAAGCTTTGCGCAAAAGGGACTTTTGCCTGAACGGGAGCAGAATAGTATTTCCACATGAAGCACTGATTTCTTACAGTAGGAAGTCAGTGCTTTTGTGGAAATTCAAGCGGCCAGTGTAGACAGCTGGCAAGTTTTTGCAGAAAAGTGGCTGATTTTCCGAAAAACTGGCCAATCTAGACACAGCCATGGAGTCAGGTCGACAACAGGCAAAGCAATGAGTCACAGACAGTTCCCTTTAGTACTTCGACATACCTTGTCACCCAAGTAAGTCTGCCTTTGTGCAACATGGTTCCTTACACCCAAAATCACAAGTATATTGAGGGGACAATCAGTTCCAAAGGACTGGCTACTTATCCCAGGTTACTTTCACCTTGCACAAAGACAATGCTGGTAGCCAATCCTATAATAAAGATTTATTAATTTGGAAAAAAATGAGTGATTTACAAGGTTAAAGCAGGTAAACATGCACACACAAGTTACAGTCTGATGTTCCCAAAGGTCATAAAAGATGCAGTAATAAGCAAGGTAAACATGTCCTTTAGGGCTAACTCAGACCAAACACTGGGGATCTTCTGAACTGCTGTTTGCTCTCAGCCAGCTAAAAGGAGGGGTGGGTGTGCCCACTACAATTGTTTAGCTCTGCAAGGTAATTAACTGTTAAATGTTGATATGTAAATACAGCTCAGGAGAGAATCCAAGGTGCAGCTATGTAAATCCCATTCAGCCAGGGCTGATGAAGGGTCAGTGTTGGAATGGAATGTGGAGATTTGTAAATAATTTGGGACTGTTGTGGGGGTCACTAATCATGCTACCCCTAAATGTGAGAACCGTAAAACATGCCACCAGTGCTTGCAGGAGAGACACCACCAACATGGCAAGAGATCTCAGAAGAACACGCCTCCCCTCTTCCAGAGTTGAGTGGACTGAGCTGGAAGGAAGGGTTAAAGGGCTTGAGTCAGCCTGATTCACACCTGCCAGGTGTGAGCTATAAGACTGGCCCAGCCTGCACCTTTCCCCCTTTGTTTTAAGGACAGACCTAAAGCAGACTCCCTGAGGACTCAGTCTTTTCTTTTGCTAGTCTAGTGGAAGCTGGATTCCTTTGCCAGTCCAGATGGTGGCTAAAGAGTTGAAATCACTGAGAACTGAAATCACTGGTTTGGCTGAGAGCCAGACCCATGGCAGCCAGTGAAGTGGCGGCGGCCAGCAGAGTGGCTGGTG